AACTCAACATGTTCTGAGTCAATTTCTTATCTGCTACTCCGGCCTAACTACTTTACCAGTATTTCCAGACTTTTCCACAAGCACTATTTCCTAAACACCTAGTTTCTACTGGTTTTAGTTGAGGTAAAGCAGCATTACCTTAATTTTGGACTTAACATACCAAAATTCAACTCATGTTTTTTTTTTTTTTGTCTTGCTTGGGTTTGAACTCAGCCTCACACTTGCTAGGCAGGCACTCTACCAGTTAAACCACTCCAACAGCTCACAAATTTATGGTTTTGAATAGGGCCATTTACTAGCAGTGTAATGTCACCTTCTCTGTGAGCTTCTACTGTGTGATCTATAAGCTGCTCTGAGTGCTGCAATACAGTGGAGGTAGCACATGAATGTGAGAATTTTCCTCTCACTCTCCCCAAAGCACCAACTATTTTACTTTTTTTTTCAAAAAAAAAAAAAGATAACCTTGAGTCGATCTTCGCGGTGACGCAGTCTCTCCCGGAGTGCTTCTCCATGCCAGTGCTTATCCTTTTTCAGGAGGAAAAGGGAAACATCAAAGCGTTACCAAGTACTAAGAGTGGGAGCCAACCAGTCTTTCCCTCCTCCTACTCTAGCACCCTCAAAAATCTGGTTTTTGCTTAACTGAAGGAGGTGGGAACCAAATTATCTTTCAGGGAATAGCAGGATAAACCTTACCATTATGTGACCTTGGGGAAAGGTCAGTTTTTCTTCAAAAGGTCTATCATTTGTGGTGAATGGAAAGTTCTCTTTCAAGCTTTCCAACTCAGGTCCTAGGTTTTCATTTCTATCCAGAATAGCTGCTAGATCTGCTGGTAGTTCTGGAAGATACTGGTTGAGATTCTTCAGGCTGGTTCTGATTTCATCTTTAACCTCAGACTTAAGTGTCCTCATAGCATCACTGATTTCCATCTGTCTTCTCTCCAGATCTTTTTGGTTTGCCATCTGTATAGCGAGTTAGGGTCAATTACCATTCGGAAAAGTTTGGAACTTACTTAGAATTCAGTTATTTAATGTGTCTTGCATTCAAAGACCTATAAATACCAATTACAGACAATCCCTGACTTTGATGGTCAGCTTGCGATTTTTTGACCTTATGCGGTGCAAAGCAATACACATTCAAAAGAAAGTATGCTTTGAGTTTTGGTGTTTTCCTGGAGAAGTAATAGTCCTACTCTCTCTTGATGATGGGTAGCTTCAGTGAGCCACAGCTCCTGCTCAGCCACTCTGTCCTGGGGGCAAACAACCGATACTTTACATTGTACTATGTTGTTAAAAGTATCACGTGTGGTAGGTTAGGTGTTTTAAACTTCAATATTTTCAACTGCAAGTTGAGGAACTTCTGTACCATTATTGTAATTGTGAAAACTTGTGCTTTTTAAAATACTCAACAGTCTACAAGCTAACAATTTTATTGGCATTTTGATTGGAGCAACTTCCATTTATAAAAGCATGTGCACAATGTTCCTTAAAAGAGAATTACTCTATAGAAATAAATCTGTCTGGAGTTAGCTAGATTCCAATCTCATTCCAGCAAACATTACCAATATGATTTAGGGCAAGCTGGCTAACTTCTGATCCTGTTACCTCATTTATGCATGGAGATAATACCTTCTGCTTAGAAAGATGAGAACTAAGTGAGAATTTACATGAAACACCTTAGTGGTACCCAAGAGCAGCTATAGTAATGAAACTTCAAATGAGAAAAACATTATTTACTCAAGTCTTAAGTGATCTGGCTTATACTATTTGAGCCACATTCCCAGCTGTGACCTGGATTATAAATGTGAATGCAGAAAGGGACCTTAGAAATGATTTGGTCAAATGCTTCCATTTTATAGGTGGTTTGGCCAGTGCAGAGATTTTGCCTGAGTCTACTCTATGTGGCTCTCCTCATAAGGAGCTTAGTGAAGGTAAGATTTGTATCTACTGTACTGCTAATTGCCCTACCAAATTTTCAGAGGGATCTATTGATTAATATCGAGCTTATAGCCTTTCAGTAACTTTTTAAAAAGTACTTTTTCTTGAGTCAAAAGGTGTTAGTGTGTTGGGGCAAATGGTGGCACTGGCAGCACAGATGAAAAGGGAAAGGCCACTGGGGTTATACAAAGAATAAAGAATAGCAAGGCCAACCAAGCGGCTGTGTCAGTTCCACTAGAATTCAGGGGTGGCCCAATGCTGACACTAAGGACTGGAGAAAACATCCACGGGTCTTATGCTTTCCATCTGGTTACATTATATGCTATCAAAGGTTTCCCCTGGACCATTTTTACTTGCCTGAGGGTTTGGCTTTTTATAGTCTTGCTTCTGGCATAAAATCTAATTTAACATAATTCTTTGGGACATGACAGAATTTTATGCTAAAGAATTTAATTTTTTTCTTTCAGAACTAACAAGCTTATGGAAGTTGAGAATTTTAACAGCTCATTTTTAACAAATATTTTTTTCTTGGGTAACAAATATTTTTTTCTTTTAGGTACATTTCTAAAATTTTAAGGCTGAAGAAAGATTAAATTTAAACATTCTTACAATCAGCTTTTCACAATTTCCTTAAAGAAATATTCCTCTTAAAATGATACTAACAATAGTACACCCTGTGTGAGCCCTGGGGAGTACACGTTTACTGAGCCTGTGTCCCAGGCTGGCCTGCATGGGTCCTGTGCACACACCTGTTTCTTGAGCTCTAGGTACTCAGACTGCATCTGATTGAGTTCCTTCATTAGACGCCTGGCCCGCTCATGGTTGTCCTGGGCTACCAGTTCAATTGTTGCCATTTCCTTTTGCATGCAGCTGTTCTCCTGTTTTTGCTCCTAGCACAGAAGGAGAAAAATGACTCAGTGGTCCAAGACATGGAGATGTTGTAACTTCATTTCCCATCTAGTCCTCACAGCTAGAGAAGCTGTGAATGGTGGTAAGTCTACCTTTTGGGGGTAGGGAAAGTATAGCTGGGAGTACATATATCAGAGTCTGTTACCCCAAAGTTTGAATCCTAGATCTGCAGCATTATCTTTGATAAGTTACTTTGCTTTTCTGAGCTTCCATCATCCTAGGGTTAGTGGGAAGATTAAATTTAGACATCGATATTCTACCTTTATAATCATCATATCGAATCATTAGTTTCCATCTGGGAACCACATGTGCTTGAAAGTTCCTTTTACACACCAGGGCTCCATTAATCGCTCCAGAGAACATTGGGAAAATCCACTTCTGGGGCAGTTCATTGTGCTCACCTGCCTCCACAAATGGTTTAGAATGATCTGATTATCACCTCCCAAATTTATTTTAGGGCTAACAGTATGGTAGACTGAGCTTCCTGGTTTTAAGATAATGATTAATTAAATCTGATGCTAACTGAAAAAGGCAGGATGAGAAAAACTTTCAAACACTGACTGTAGTTGTGTAAAAAATGTACAAAGCCTTCTCTAACACCCTGTATCCCTGCAATGGGGTGTAGCAGCGTTCATAGCAGAAAGCACTCTCTACTCTTTGTTGACTCTGTTCACAGGATGGTCTCCCAGCTAGCAGCCAGAGCTGCTTTGGACTTATGGCCTAGTCTCAAGGCAAAACTTACGAAAGCTTCCAGAACAAATTATGCATAAATGTACAACAATAACAACAGCTGGGTTAGAGGCTGGGTTGATGGGTAATTTATTTATATAGTGAAGTGGCATTACAGTTTAAAGTATTATTTTATTTATCTTTGGCAATACTGGTGTTTGAACCAAGGCTTCACATTTGCTGGGCAGGTGATCTAGTGCCAGAGCCACTCCTCCAGCCCTATAAAATCTAAATTTACTCATTCCTCATGAACCACCCTCCCAGAAGGGACTCACAAGAAGATTTTTCTCTAGCTGGTTCCGCTGGGTCCTAAGTGCTTCCTTCAGACTGGCCACCTGCTTCTCAGCTTTCTTTCTTTCAGTCAAGAACTGGTTCCGCAGCAGGCTGAAGTCTGCCCTCATGGCATCTGTCTCTTTTTGGAGGGCCAGCAGCTCACGTGACTTTTCCATTAACTGCTGCTCCTGCTCTGACAGCCTCTGTTCTGAAATGAGCATTTTTAGTAGGGTGGCAGGGCTTCCCGTCCCTCATGGATAGGTTGCCTGACGGAGACGTGCTACCCACTCTGGCACTTCTCTCCAATACTGCATCCATAAGCCTTCCCTGACTCACTTCAAAGGCTCAGATAAAGGGAGTCTCTAAAAGGCTCAGATAAAGGGAGTCTCTCTCTCTTTCTTTTTTTTTTTGGCTGCATTGGGGTTTGAAGTCAGGGCCTCTCCACCAGTCCTTTTTGTGTGATGTGTTTTTTCGGGATAAGAGTCTTGAGAACTATTTGCCAGGGGCTGGTCTCGAATCACAATTCTCCTGATCTCTGCTTCCCAAGTAGCTAGGATTATGTGAGTGAGCCGCGAGCATCCAGCTCTTTTTTTTTTTTTTTCCTTTTGGTAAACTGAACTCAGGGCCTCATTCTTGCTAGACAAGCACTCTGCTGCTCCAGCCATGCTCCCGGTTTTTTTTTACTTTAGTTTGCTCTTCAGATAGGATCTCAAGCATTTGCCTGTTATGGCCTTGATCATCCCACCTCTACCTCCCAAGTATATGGGATTACAGGTATGCACTAGCACACCTGGCAAGCGCACCTCTTGAAGAAACTGGTTCCTGGAGGGCCTGATCCCAAAATGACAGACAGTATCTATCTTTCCTTTGAAACCAGGGAGAGTAAGCACAGCCCCAATCCTGCGCTGGAAACATGCAACAGACTGCTGAATTTTTTGAGTACTGGGGTTTGAACTCAACAGGCATTGTATCACCTGACCCATGTTCCCAGGCCCCCTACCATCTTTTCTTTTTCTTTTTTTTTTTTTGCTTTAGTTATTTTTCAGGGAGAGTTTCACATTTTTTGCCCACAACTGTCCTGCCCTCAGCTTCCTGTGTATCTGGTACAGTCATGTGTCACCACTGCCTGGCTCATTGATTGAGATAGGGTCTCACTAGCTTTTTGGCCAGACTGGCCTTGAACCTTCATTCCCCTCAATAGCTGAATAGCTGATTATATCTATCTACCTATAATTTTTTTTCCCTCAGAACTGGGGTTTAAATTCAGAGCCTTATGCTTGCAAGGCAGGTGCTCTACTGCTTGAGCCTCTCTTCCAGCCCTTTTGCTTTAATATCTTTTGAATAGGGACTCACATGTTTATGCCTGGCTGACCCATACTGTGATACTCTACTTACGTCTCCTGTATAGCTGGGATGACAAGTGTGTGCCACCTCATCCAGCTTTTTATTGGTTGAGATTGGGTCTCATGAAAAGGGCTGGCTGAACTGTAAAACTCTCAGTCTCCACCTCCTGAGCAGCTAGGATTATAGCCATGAGCCACCATGCCTGACTTGAAATGTGCTTTTTTCTTGGACTAGGCATATTTTTTTTTTTATTTTGAACTCAGGGCCTTGTGCTTGCAAGGCAGGTGCTCTACCACTTGAGCCACTCTGGCAGCCCTTGAAATGTGTTTTTTTAACCCTTGATTTTAATAAAGGGAGACATACCAGTGCTTTTTTTCCTTATAGGAGGTGGTGCAGTGGGAAGCCCAGGATTTGAAGCTGGTTCTACACTGGCATGAGCACAATTTTACAAATAAGGAGGCGTATTTCTTGGTATTCAATTTGAATCATTTATGCAAACACTAGGGACATAGTGAGTACTCAATAAAAGTGCTTATAAATAAAAATGACATTTAAATATTTTTCTTATCACCTTATGTCGAATAGCACCCTGCCCAGATTTTACTTTCCAACACCTGTGGAACAGTCAGAACTGTCAGAACTCAATATATTTATTTAGTTTCATTTTGTCAAAAGATTGTGTGTGGGTATAACATGGGTTCCTAGGGGAAAAGGAGTGATAACACTTTCAGATGCCCAAATCCACATTTTCTGAGTATCATTAAAATTTGCAGCTTAAGGTAGAAGAAAAAAAACAAAAAACCCATGTGTTTGCTTACTTACTTTTTTTTTAGTCCTGGGATTTGAACTCAGGGCCTTGCCCTTACTAGGCAGTTGTTTTATCTTTTGAATCATGCCCTCAGCCCTTTTGCTTTAGCTGTTTTTTGAATAGTAGCTCCCACTTTTGCCCAGACATATCGTCATATTTACACTTCCCTCAAAGCTGAGATGGCAGATAGGAGTCAACATGCCCAGTTTTTTAATTGTTTTTTTTGAGATGGGGTCTTGCTAGCTTTTTGCTCAAGTTGGCTTTGAACTGCAATCCTCCTGATCTCTGCCTCCCAAGTAGCTGGAATCATAGGCAAGAGCTCCTATGCCCAAGTGAAAAATTGTTTACTGATGATCATTTACCCTAGATTTTCACATCATCTTCATTATTATTTTATTGTTGTTGTTTTAGGGTTGGGGGTGTGGTTCAAATGGTAGAGTGCTGCTTGAGGCCCTGAGTTCAAACCCCAGTGCTACAAAAAAAAGAGAAAGAACTGCTCCCAAAACTCAAAACAAGAAACCCTGCCCCCTGGCAAAACATGCACAACACTGTTTGTTTTTTTTGGGGGTGAGGGTCTCACTTATATTGCTCAGCTTGGTCTTGAACTCATAAACTGCCTCCTGCCTCAGCTTCCTACATGTTGGCACTACTTGCACATGCCACTTTGCCCAGCTTCAACTTCATTTACATATGGTTCAAGAGAGAGCAAACTAACTCAAAAGCAAATACCTATATTCTGGCAGCACTTATGCCAACTGTGGTCAGAGGCAGAATTGCTAATACTGTTTTTTTCACTGGTTGAGGCAAAACGGATCATTATTCCCAAAGCTCCTGAATAATGCACTTTAGAGTATCTTGTGGCACTTTTGCCTACTGTTTCACTTCTGTGAGGAGGCAATATGATAAAGTTAGACTTGTTAGTCAGTCTCAGGACTGAGTGTCTTCTCCATAGAGATACAAATTTCCTTTGGCTCTCTGAGCCTGGTTCATTATCTCTTCACAGGGCTCTCCTCCTTCCTGGGCTCTAGCTGGGGCCTGGGTCTCCTTTATGAGACAGTCCAGCAGAGCCACCACTCCCATCCCTGCCCTGCTCCAGATGCAGTCCCAGAATACATACTGGCCTGGGAGAGTGTCTTCTCCAGAGTCTCCCCATTCCTCTCCTCCTCCTGTAGAGTCTTGACACGCTCTTCGGCCTCGGATACCTGTGTGAGCACCTGGTCCAGTTTGCTTTTCTGGTCTATCAATTCTTTTTCCAGCTGCTCCTGCTGCTCCTTCAGTGTCACTTTACTGTCTTCTAATTTTTTTTCTTCACTTTCTCTCTCTTTCTGGAGTCTTTGAAACATCTTCATAGAAAATAAGAATTAGTCATAAAATAACAAATACTTGTCCCAGGTGAACACAAGGCAGATGCTAGTTCAGCAGAGAGGAGAAAACAGCTCGTGGGGCAAAGAAAATTGCTTTGTAAAGAAGATCAAGCAGGGCCTAGGAAGCCACTTGGCCAGGATGATAGGAGAGGACCCAAGCAGCAAATGGCATGTGGCCATTAAAATTCTTTACAGGACCATCGCCATCCTTGTTAGCAAATGATGAGTATCTCTGCCTGTCACACAGGAAACAGCAGTTTGATTCCCTGATAGGGAGGCAGCTGCCTTTTTGGGCTAGAGGTGTGGCTCAAGCAGTAGAGTGCAAGAGTGAAGCCCTGAGTTCAAACCCCAGTCCCACCAAAAAGAAAGCAAAAAGATTCTTTAGGATCAATGTCCTATATGACTCTAATGGTTCAAAAATGGGTATAAAAGCAACTCCTGATTACCCAGGATAGTTAGAAGGTACATAGGCTAGAGATCAGCTCAGTTGGAGGAGAGCTTGTCTAATTTTTGGGAGACCTGGGGGTGTGGGGAAGATACATAGTCCCTTAGGGCTCCTTCCCAGCAGCTTTCCACCACAGGGGAAAGGCTCACAGAAGAACACAATGGTTCCCTTTATACACAATCATACTGTGTAGTACCATTTCTTGCTGGTCTAGCTTGAGCTTGTTTTCTTTGATCTCATCCTGAAGCACTTGAAGCTGTTGTTGTTTTGACTCTGTTTCTTTCTGACAGTTCTCAAACCTCTCTATCCATTCACTGATATTCATCTGGAGCTGGGTCTGCTCACTAAGCAGTACATTCTGACGTGTGGTGGTGTGAAGCAGGTCCTTCAGGCAGAAGAACACATTGAAACAACAAAGCCATTTTTACTAGGAGGGCCCAGTGCCAATCCAGCCTCTCTACCAGGTCTGACAAAATGAGAAGTATGAAAGCATATCCTTTATCATCTAACAAACTTAACAAAGGTACTCAGGACTCAACTTCATTGGTTTCCTTTTTTTAGTGCCTAAAAACTAAAATGACAAAAGATAACACAACCTCAATAAGGGATTCAGTTCCTCTTAGCTTTAGCTGCTTTGTCACTGAGATGGGGATAAACCACATTCTATGAACAACACAGGATTGTTCAGAAAATTAAGAAAAATTATGAACACAGCTTAATTCTTGTTGAAAATGAACCAAGTTATATTTTGTTACCATCTGAAGTATTTGCACAGGTTTAAAAACAACTTGAAAAAATTAATCATATTTTTAACCTGGAAAATATTTATAAGAATCTTTGTGGGATTTTTTTAAAGACAGACTCATTTGACTTTTAGGTTTTACATATCTCAGAAACAGAATTTTGAAGGAATATAGAAGACAATTTAGATATTTAATTTCTAATCTATACAACAGGAACTGAGGCCCAGAATTTGCTTGATGTTCCCTGAAATTTAAATTTCAGCACTATTCTCACAGGACAACACTGAATTACCTTTAGGAAGATCAGAAGTACAAGGGCCATGAATTTGTTCTATTCAACATCTGGCAAGATGGAGGCTCAGATTTGGCAGTTACTCCTGTAGGTTGATGAGTAATCAAATCAAAACTGGTCTGGAGGCCTCACCTATACTATGGATAAGAGATTGTCCTCTGGTCCCTAAAGCCTCCAGAGAGGATACTGAGGAACTGCTATTGGGCTCTGGTCTAGCCATCACTCTATTTACCAGCTTTGAGTAAAACTTTGTTTGAATCAAGAGTTGGCCTGTGGGACACGCTGGTGTGAAAGTGATCAGCCTACTTGTGTTTGTTATGTCCAGCACTTGTCCGTATGCTGTAGTGTACTATTAGAAAATTACACGTGTTAACCTTACCTGCTTTGCTAGGCTCAAATGGTCTTGGATATTAGCTAGTTCCTCCTGTAGTGAGTTCACTGCTTCTCGCTTTTCTATAGAAACATTTTCATAAAATAAGAAATATGTATTATAAGTCCATACCAGATTTCCACCAGCACCTCCCACCACCAAAGTACATCAGAAGTGAATTTAAAATTATTTTTGTTAAGCTAACGATGACGCCACACTATCTTATTAGAGACCAAAAGATAATTACATGTACAGTCCAGATTTGGGCTTGGAGCCCAGCTTTTACAGACTTTGTATTTAAAACCTCACAAAAAGTTTTATAAAATAGTATTGCTGAAGTTCATGTTTTAAAAACAGGTACCTTCTACATTACTGGTGGAAATGTAAATTTGGTTCAACCTTTCAAGAAGACAATTTGAGGATAAATTTTCTATCTGTACTGGCTTTGTCAATTATTAGCAGTGTGACCTTGAGCAAGTCACAAGAAAAGTAAACTTTACTTTTCTCTTAAGTAAATGGGTAAAATAAGTTTCTATCTCATAAAAATGTTAGGAGAATTTTTTTCTTTTGTTTTTGAGACAGTCTCTCTATGCAGTCCAGGATTGATCTTGAACTTGTAATCCTCCTGCCTCAGCCTTCCAAGTTCTGTGATTATAGGCATGCACCATCACACCTGGCTTTGTTACATGGATTCAATGAGAAAATGTGCCAGGTGCAGGTGTGAGGTGGCTCACGCCTGTAATCCTAGCTACTCAGGAGGCAGAGATCAGGAGGATCGTGGCTTGAAGCCACCCCTGGGCAAATAATCCTTTAGCCCCTATCTCGAAAAAAATCCATCACAAAAAAGGGCTGGTGGAGGGGCTCAAGAGGTAGAGCACCTGCCTAGCAAGTGTGAAGCCCTGAGTTCAACCCACTGAAAAAAGAAAAAAAAGAAAGAAAATGCTTAGTACATCGTTAACTACAATTACATGGCTATTTCTCTCAAGTAAATCAATGATTTGGTAATAAAAGACATCTTTATTATCTGCATTAAACTATACACACACACTGTAGGAAAAACATGGAAGGATATTCACCAAACTGTTAGTAGGAATCATCTCTGAGGGGTGAAGTCAATAGTAATTATTATTTAATTTTTTTTGCTATGTTTTAAAACTGTTCTCTAAGGAACATGAATTAGAATGAAAAAAATATCACGTATGTCTTATTTGAAGTATCTGACTCAAAGGCTTTTAGCATATTCAGAATGAATTACTTCTGTAAGAAACATTAAACAGGTAAATCAAGAATCTAACAAATGAGGAAAGCACCCCCATCTTTCTTGTCTTGCTGCCTCCCTCGTACCTTGCAGCTGCTGCTGCATTGCTGAGATGTCACTGTGCAGTGAGAGCTTGTCTTGGTTTAGTTGGTCTAGTTCTTGCTGAAGTTTTCTGACATTCGATCCCAACTTTTCTAAGTTTGATTGTTCCATTTTGCTGTTTTCTTCTGTAGTTGCTAAAACCCTACCACACAGAATAAATCACTGTTAAATAAACACACAAGACATGACTGAGAAATAGTGCTACCATTTTGCAATATACAGTTATGCAAAGTCTGAATGATTATAAATCTTAAAATTTAAGACTCTTGAACTCATTTTTAAAAGAAATCTTCCTATCAGCTTTCTAAATAGATTTTTTTTGGAAGGTGACTTGCTAAATAGAAGTTTTATAAGAATTATGGGTAAAACATAACTAACATTCAGAATTCCAAAAATCTGAGCAATAAAAATTGATTGCTAACTCTGAGAAGTGAAAAAGCAGGAAACAACTGTACGTATGAAAGGATTTCGACATATCACAGATAGGCATGAGCATGCAATCTTGTACATATAAATGGAGGTATACTGTGTGGACTGTTTTAATCTGGCTTCTTTCACTCGGCACAATTACCTGGAGATTCTTCCTTATTACTGCTGAGTAGTATTTCATGATGCACATATACCACAATTTGTTTATTCACTTACCATCTTACAGACTTGTGGGAAATTATAATTAAAGCTGTTATGAACATTTGTGCATACTCTGTGTAAAAGTACGCTTTCATTCTCTTGAGTACATTCCTACAGGTAGAACGTCTAAATCTTCTGGCAGGTGGATATTTGATTTTTAGGTAACTGCTGAACTCTTTTCCCAAAGTTGTCATATCATTTCACATCTGCATCGGTCACGTATGAAAGCACTTTACTAACACAATGAAGTATGTAGCAAGTACTTAGCAGTGGTTTTACTTGTATCTCCTTAATGAGGATGGCGATCTTTTCAAATTCTTATTTTCCACCATGCACCTTCTATAGCAAAACACATGCACAAATCTTCTGCCCACTTAAAAAACTGGCTTGTTTGTTTTATATTAGGCTTTGAGGGTGAAATATATATTCTGGATACAAGTTCATCACCATATACAGGGTAGCAAAGATTATCCCTAACCTGTGTCATGCCTTTTTATTACCTTAACAGTGTCTTCTGAAGAGCACGTCTTTTACATTTTGATGAAATCCAATTTTATTCATTTTTTAATGAATCACATTTTTGATATCATACCTATGAAATTTTTGCCTAACCCAAGGTCACAAAATTTTATATTTATGATCCTTTTGGGGTTAATTTTTGTATGTAGTATGAAGTATGGGTCAAGGTTTATTTCTTTAGTTTTGGATGTACAATTATTTTAGCAACATTTTTTGAAGAGCCTATCTTTTCCCACTAAAAAGATGCCTTTGTCAGTCAGTTGTCCATATGTGCAGGTTTATTCCTGGACTTTCTGTTCTGTTCCTTTGATGTACTTGTCTACTGTACCACAGAGTTTTGATTATCATAGCTTTATTAAAGTCTTGAAATAAGGTAGTGTTACCCCAAACTTTTGTTATTATTTTCAAAAGTTATTTTGTGTTGTATCTAAAAACTGTATAAATCCTATTCTAGGTACTTTGCATTGCCAGATGAATTTTAGAACCAACTTGTCAATTTCTACCAAAAAAAAAAAAAAAAAAAGCCTACTGAGATTTTGACTGTAATTGTTTTAAATCTATAGATTAATTTGAGAACTAGGTCTTAACAATATTAGCTTCTTATCAATGAACCAAGTATATTTTTCCATTTATTTCTAGCATGTATTATTTCACTTGAAAACAATAGGATGTTTCTAAACAATAGGATGTTTAGAAAATGTTTGGGGGTGTGGAGGGGGGGATAAGAAGAAAAGTCACCAAAATGCTATTAGAGAATTACGATACCAACTGTAAGTTTATTTGTTCTTGCTCTCACCTTTTGGTTTGAGATAATTTATTTTCCCAGATGTCACATTTCTGTCGGAGATCTTCCTTTTCTTTGCTCAAACACTCAACACATGACTGTAATGCGTGCATCTCAGCAGTCATTCGCTCTATTTCCCGTTTGTCCCTCTCAAGAAGCTGCTTCTGCCACTCTACTTCCTCTTTCTGTTGCTGAGTTGTCTGCTGCAAATGCTCTAACTCCAGTTTCTCCTAAATCAGATAAAAGAGACTCAAGCACCCTAAAAGAGAAAGCCTGCAGTTTGCTAAGAGTATGATGTCTCTAGCTGTTACCTCTAGCACTTCAACCTGAGTCTTCTCTAACTCTGACACTTTCTGACCATGTTGAAACTTCAAGCCTTGCAGCTCATTGTTTTCAAGTTGCAGTATGTCCAGAATATTCTTTAGTTCTAACAAACAGAAACAAAGTATGGTCAATACTATTAAATGAACTTGGAAACATTTACAAAATGAAAATAATTCTATTGTCTGACACAAGAAACAATAGATAATAAAAAAAATTTTGTTGAGCTGAGAAAATGGAGTTAACTGTATTTTTAATGGGAAGAACCTTTCTAAAACTTGCTAAACATTATTTAATTTGTTAAAAACATTTTAACAAAAATATTTAACAAAGATCTAGTTCTAAAAGCACTTACATCCAAAAGTGAACTAAGCACATTTTATGTGAATAAAAATGTTGATTAAACATAGAAAAACCTTAAAAAATAGAATGAGATTTATATAATAGTATTTTGACCTTTGAAATACAGACATTTAAATAATCTTTTTCTGATTATAAAAATAATTTGGTCACTGTAGAAAATGTGGAAAATGCAAAAAAGTATGGGAAACAAATCAAAGTGCATCATTATCCAACATCCAAAGATGATGACTATTACCATAGCATTCTAAGGTATTTTTCTCTCAGTAATGTGTGCACACACATACTTTGAACATAATATGGGTTGTATTTCACATTCAGCTCTTACCTATTTTATACTTTTCATGAGTATTTTTGTGTGTCACTAAATCTTAAATATATGGCTTTTACACTGTTTCCAAATTTTTAAAATATAAATATTGCTGTAATGCTCATAAAAGCTTGCCCTATCTGGAAGAGTAGATTAGAGATGGGCTCCCTGGTTCAGTGGTATGAATTGGAAGAACGGTGAAACCCTGAGAGTATTCCAAGCTCACTTCATTCGATAGATGATTAGGGCCCTTCCATCAGCAGATGCTGGTCAGCCATGAATATGATGATTTTGTTTTAAAATAAACCTTATAGAACTGATTGATAGAACATACTATTACATTCCTTTTATAATCTGTTTTTCTTTGTTTATTAGTAGTAAGGTTAAACTTTAAAAGGAGTTCATTAGGTCATTTATATTTTTCTATGACTTGCAATGCAGGTGTTTCTAACCTTACACTTTATATGATTATTTTCCTTTAAACTTACCAGTTTTATGTTTAGACATCTGCTGTAAAACTACCTGAAGATTTTCTTCCTCTTTTTCAATTTCCTGCTTTATAAGTGCAAGTTGAGTTTTTTTTTCACTAATGTGGACATTCAGTTCTCCTTTCTGAAGACTCAGTTCTTCCAGAAGTGATTTTACTTCCTGTGTTTTAAAAAAAATGCCATTCCCCCACCATGAAATTATGAATAGAAATTCCTTTAAATCCAATTCTGTTATTGTCTCATTTCATAGAAATTCTACTTTAGAAATATGCTCATTTTTGCCTTTTATGTCAAGAACAGCACTGTATTTTGTACTAACACACATATGTATAAAAATATATATATATATGTATAACAGAAACAAGAAAGTAACATTATCTTCACTTAAATGTACATGTGACATTTATAATTTGCAAAGCAATGTGTTGTAGAGAAATAACACATGGCTGATTCAGACACAGCTCCTGCCCTCGAGGGGCTCAGTACCTCATGTAGAGAAGGTATGGAACATAAACATGGTCATGAAAGACTAGGAAGTTCACTAACTCAGACAGAGAGTTATAAAACTCAGGAGAGAAAGAAAATTTCTCCCAGAAAAAATTAAAATGTCAGGGAAGTCACTAGAGGAGGTGGCATGTAGCTGGGCCATGAGGAACACGTGAGATCTGGCTGGTAACAGGGGAGCAAGGGAATTCCTGGACAACAAATGGAATGGGAAAGACAAGAGGCAGGAGAACATGGGTATATCCAGAAAACAATAGGAGGGACCCCACATGCAAGCCTCAGCATGGATACCTAACATAAACCAAAGGGGTTTTAGAAAGGAGGCAAGATCCCAGGAATTTATATTTTGATTTTGGGAGAACCAATGAAAATGCCTCAAAATAAATCTATAGCATTGTCCTAGGACTCTTAAGAAAACCTACTGAAAAACATACCCTAATGTGACTGCATTTCTCGGCTACTTCAGTTTCCCCCAATCTCAGAGCTTCCTCGAGGTCAGCTTTTGCCTGGACCATGCTTTCTTGGAGTAGATGCAACTCTTCCTTTTTATGTACTAACTGCCTATCCAAGACAGCCATCTCCTGCTGCTGACTTGTCACCTGAAAAGGGAAAAATGCAAAGTTGACAAAGTCCTCATGTATTAGTTATACTTTATTTTGTATTTTTCAATCTTTTCTATAATCAAATTATTACTTTTATAATTATAAAACATAAACAGGTTTTAAAGCATACGTATGAACTGTCTTTTCCAGGTATCTATTGCCATACCTGGCTTTTCAGCTTTTCCAGCTCAGCTCTCTTGGCCTGAAGGAGGGTCTCAGATTCCTGAAGGACCTGAAGGTGGTGATCCTCATTGCGTTCTGCTGTCTCAATGTCTCTCTGCAGGTTCTGAAGCCTATAAGGCACAAGCAGTACATGAGCAGTCCTTAAGAGAGACTGAACCCAACAGCTATCTTCTGAGACAAATCCCTTGCAGCCCTATAGAGGCCTTACTTACTCTTCTGTCAGTTTTTCCTTCTTTTTGTTTAAACACTGGAAGTCTGCATCTTTTGCTGCTACAACTTTGTTTATTTCTTTCAAAATTTCTTCTTGTTTGATTTTGTGTTGCTCCAAGTCCTTTGCATCAGCCTGAAGCAATCTAAAACACATCACTTTATTCCCCTGGCCCCTTAGACTTAACATGCGTTATCAACCATAAGCCAGTTATTATCTTCTTAGCAACAACTTTTCCTTCTTCTTACTGTACAGACTTCAGTTACATAGAGGTTCCACCTACCTTAGCTGCTGATCAGCTTTCACAAGGTTAACAGCAGTTTCCTGAGCTCGTCTTTCTAACTCCTCAGCATCTGACTCGGTTTGTAGTAAGTTTCTCTTGGCATCAGTGAACTTTTCAGCAGCATTTTTTGTCTGGAAAAGAAAAATGGTATAAGCACTGTGAGAGCAAGTATATAAAACTACATCTGTGTCAACAAAGACAGACCACCTCTGCAAAAATAAATGTAATCATTTGAAGATGGTGAAACTGTAGATGATCTTTTTCTTTTTGAAATAACTGATTTTTTTTTAATAATTGAAAACATTCATTTCAATTCCTTGGCAATAGATTTCTACTCATCTAAATAGACCCAAGTTAAAAAATAACAATGTAGAAATAGTAGTTCCTGATGTAGTCATATGGGTAAGGAACTTTCATCCCGGAATTCTCTCCTCACTAAAAAAGCTTTCGGAGAGACACAACTTCAACTATGTCACTCTGGGCCACTGATGAGCCTCTCTAAGCCGCATCTATAAAATGAGCTAACACCTTCTTATAGGACTGCCAGGAAATTTAAATAAAGTGGTATTTATAAATATTTGTGGCCATGTTGGATGTTCAATAAAGGAAAGTTCTTTTTCTTCCCCAGTTCTCTTCTGTGTTGTGGTCTAAAGAATCCCATTTCACTTAGAATTTCATGTAATTTACCCACATGAAACACCTGAGGAACTACTATTTTTAAATTATTTCAATTTGGATCTATCTAAATTAACTGAAATCTATTGCCCAGGAACTAAAAATATTTTATATCACTATTTCATTTATCAACTTGAAGAAAAAGTCCACTGTACCTTTATAAGAATCTGATTACCCTACTTTAAAGACAGATTGAAGAGCCCAGGAATAATAATAATAATTTAAAAAGACAAGCACAGAGTAAGGAAGTAGGGCATACTGGGAACTAAATAACTAGGAGTTTTAGAGATGCTATTTCATTTAATTCATACTGAATAGCCTACACATTCTTCCTGAATTTATAAATGAGGAAAGCAAAGCTTGAGGACTTACATGATTTACTCAAATCCTCACAGCTGCTTAACTTCCAGAGTCCAGCCTAGAACCCGGCTATCTAACTTGGACAAATGTATCTTTATCACCTGTTCTCTTTGGAGTTCTTCAGGAAGACAACATTAAGTATCTCACCCACAATAAGCTCATGCCCAAACAACAGGACACACCTTCTCTTTCGTGCATGAAAGTTCACTCTCTGCTTCCGCCAGGAGTCGGTCAGCTTCCCTGAGCTCTGCACGCCGTTTCATAAGGGTCTTTTCTAGGCACTCAATTTCATCTACAATATCTTCATGGTGTTTGAGTGATTTTTCTATTTCTAGTTCAGTCATAAGACCCTCAACATTTCCATCAATGAAGTCCCTAAAAAATTACATAATCAAACATTAAAAGATTTTTTAACTGTAGACAATAAGGACACTTGTAACCTAATTACTAAAAAGGATGGAGTCAGGCAGGGATTAGAAAAGGCATTTTAGGCAGAGGATAGAAATGCAAGGTGTGGGGCACCATGCTTGGGAAGCACAGGAAAGCAAGTGGCTCAGACCAAGCCCTGGAGGATAACAAAAGCAGGCAGGGTGGAGGCTGGTGTATATTCTGAGAGTTGCAGTGTCTTGACAACAGAAAAGAGGCCAGGGTGGAAGTGACTACAGGAGTCTGAAATGTGACTGGTTGTTGTGGAAATGGGTTGGAGAGCTGTTTATATGCAGTCAGCAGGAGATCAACTGAATGTCTGGAGGAGTTGGGGTGTTAAGAACCCTCACATATTTTTTGCTAGAGTAGCTGGGGAGGTAATTATTCTGCTAATTCTCTACCTGGGGCTACAAAAGAGCACATCTGATTTACTGGCCAAGAAAACTTAAGATTTGCACGCTCCAAAATGGCACCGTAAAGCTAGTATATTAATTTAAATTCTGTTCCTCAGTTCCCACAGCCACATGTGGCTAGTGTTGACTGTTTTGGAAGTTCATAGTTAGAATACTTCCAACACCTCAAAAAGTTTTACTAGTCAATTAAGTTATCTTAATGAGCATATTCATTTGAATTATAAAAATATAATGGCTAAAAATAATTACTTTCGCTGTTGATGTTTCTGGATGGTTCTATGTAATTGTTCTATTTCAAGTTCTAATTCTTTCTTCTCTTGCAAAAGGCCATCAATATCATGATGCAAGTCTTCCACTTCTTTCTCAGACTTTTGCTTGGATGCTCTCAGACACCATTCTTCTTCTTGTTTTGATTTTAAATGCTGCATTATGTCTTCTAATCTAGAAACTTCATTCTCCTGAAGAAAAAAACAAAACAAAAACACAGTATGCAAACATCCGAGGGTCCCTCCCCTCTTTCCTGCCCAAAGCTGAAATTAAATGGTTAAAATGGTATCTATGGTCTGGAAAATGGTAGCAGAGTCTAAGACTGCAGTATGTAAAGAAAACTTAAACCAATTTTTTACATGCCAAAAGGACTAGCAGAATTTAACTTTTTCATCAGTACAACTGCAGTTGAGAGCCATTCACCAAGTTTCCTGTGGATGACATTAGTGACTAGCAGAAGAGACAGACCAAGGTCTCTCCATCCTCTGGACACATGGGAGGGAAGTGGTCTGAGAAGGCTGCCCAGAGAAGAGGTGTCTAGCCTGGGTTTTGAAGAATGAATGAAAAGGGACAGACCTAGGCTCAAGAAATAATATGTGCAAATGTAAGGACGTATAAAAGTGTACTTGGTTAACTATATAAGCAGTTAGGTACTTTTGGAGAGTAAAAGAACCAGTTTAAGAGATTAAAAATAAGTGCTGAATAGACAGAACTGCTACAAATTACAATGTGCACTGAAAAAACCACAAGAGAATGTGTTAATCATGAAAATGCACTCAAGCCCTCAGAAACTAGTCTGATTTATTAAAATGACACTGTGACCTAGTACTAGGTGACTTAAGTCTTTTGTCTTTCCCTTAATATGCTAAATGAAGGAGGAAAAAAACAAAGGCTCTAGGTTCTCTGAGTTTGAAAGAGAGTTTGGGATGCAATTTTTATTGCTTTAGAACCAAAAATTTAGAAAGCAATCTAGTGATTAGGATGTAATCATTTCTTGGAATCTAGCCTAAGAAAAGAATATGAAACATGGTAAAAGAATTTATAGTTAGCTACAGTATCTACAAATAAATGTTGTGTATAAATAAAATACTGTTTAAAAATGTTTGTAAAAGCACAAGGAAATGTCTGTAACATTAAATGGGGAGAATTAAAAACTGTGTGTACAAAAATAACTATGAAAATAAAATGATAATAAATTCTACTAACCAAAGGTTAAGTCCATTAACCAAAGGTAATATTCACCAAAATCTGCTGGATATCTGTCCACATACTTGTGTGTACATATGCATGTGTGAACACACATCTATTTATGCACATGTATACGTTACAGGTAATAGTATGTGAATATATCTATCTATACTTGTCAATCTATATAGCACTTATCAATAGAAAAATATATGAAAAATGATTAATTTCAGGTCTGAAGGCATTTCTGTTTACACCAGGTTTTAGAGGGGGGCCTGGCACCTTAGATCCTATTCAAGATAGTATTTTAATAAGAAAGTGCTTGCTCAGTTCTAAACATCAGCCTTATAATCATACTTTTGCAATATAACCCATTCATAAACAGTCAACTCATTAGTGTATATCCTTCTCAGGTACCCATAGAAGTAGTGTGGACAAAGAGTGGGCTATTTTTTCCACTTACTAAGTTATGGTGCTCTGGGACATTGCAATGCAGAACGCCCATAGGGATGAGGGGGACAGAGAAGTTGGGGGGTGGAGGTCCATACACAATGGGGGCTCCAGCAGGAGGTGGGCCATAAATGACAGTGCCCGGGGTGAGAGGTCGACTGTTGTTGGGCAAGGGAGGAGGCGGTGCATACAGGGCCACGCCCTGGGGTATAGGAGAACCATCAGGAAGCACAGTGTACATCATGTATCCAGGAGGAGGCACAAACAGGGGATCCTCTTGGTCATCCAGCCCATTCTCTTCCTGGCTATCTCCATCACTATCTGCATCTTCAAAAAAAAGTAAACCAGAGAGTGTGTTACCAGGTAAACACATTTAGGAAAGAACAGCAGTAGTTAAATCCAGATACTAGAAATGTAAGAATAAAACTGAAAAAGGTCAAAAGCAGTTTTGAGAAGCAGGTCAAAACATGGATTCAAAGTATTTTTGGCAACCAAAATTTAGTTCTTCTTATGCCCATCTTGGGTTGTTCGTTTGTTCTCAGCAATCATTTGCCTGTCTGCTTCACACTACATAAAAAATCACCAAAGATGTTCTATGAGATCAGACTACACTCAGCATTTATCACTGCCATGACATGTAACACTCTCCAATGTGATAACTTACTTGCTTCTCTTTGAAAAGCAGGAATTATGCTTGCTTATCATTGACAACAAAGAACAAAGCACACAGCAGGTACTCAATAAAAAGTTCCTGTTTTGTTTTGGATTTTTCTGTAGTGCTGGTTATCAAACCCAGGGTCTCATATGTACTAGGCAAGTTCTCTACCACTGAGCTATATCCTCAGCCCAATAAATTGTTCCTGAATGAGCAAGTCCTCAGAAGTGTTCTCCTTTTATACATTAGCAGTTTCAGAACAGCTAAATAATTTGCCTATGATCACACAGCTATTAAGTGCAAGAGCTGGGACTTACCCAGGTTTGACTTTTCCCTTTAGAGCTTTGGAAGACAGACCTATGGCACTTTATTCTAGTAGAATAAGGTTAATGGCATGATATAAAATTGTAAGGCTCCATGCTCCAGCAAAGAAGTGGCTCAGTTGGCTTGGGGGAAATAGGGTAGAGAAGATTCCATAAAAGGGAGTGTTGTTTGAGGACCTGAGTCTTATTAAAGAATGAGTAGGAACTGGTTTGGGAGAGGAAGGAAGAAAGGCATTCCAGATGAGGGAATGAGTGCCTAGAGGTCTGGGGCTGAGGATGTAACTTAGCTGTAAAGCACTTGCCTAGCATGCATGAGGCTCTGGGTTCAATACTCAGCACTGAAGGGACAAAAAGAAAAGCCAAAGAAGTCTGAGGAACCTGGTCTGCTGTATCTTAAGTATTTAGGTATGCGATGGCAGGTTTAAGACAGAGGCCATTGGCCAACATGGGATCATAGAGGATTTCACAGACCAAGTTAAGGAGTTTGGATTATGTTTATGGATTTCAGGGAATCAATAAAAGTTTATGAAACGTCCTTTATGTGGCATGACTCACCTCTGTTTGAAAAAAATTTACGTAACCCGCTTCTTAAGGGCGAATAGATCCAGTATCCTGAGGCAGGTGGAGGTCCACTGCTATCCTTCCCTTCTTGTTGTCCAGGCCATCGTTTTCTAAGAGGGGTTGAGGATGTGTACTTTAGATCTACACCAGAGTCCTTGGTAGCTTGGGAGCTATGGCTGGAAACCTAAAATAAATGACAGGAAAGCACACTATCTATTACAAATAGAAAGGCTGACTTTGAGAAATGTCAAAGTCTAGAGCCAAGTTGAGATGTAACTAAGTTGAAAAGGCATTTTTTTCCTATTATCAAAATTCTTATTTTTCACAAATGAGAAGTGATTACACAGTCATATATATTACAGTTCCACACATATGGTTTAGTTTATTTATATCCCTCTGGGTTTGACATCAGGAAGGTGGGAGACAGAGAAGAGTTATGTATACAATGGCTGGGGTCATGACAGACTGGAATTGTGAAAATGAAGGGTTTGATCTATTTACTCTCCAGAGAATTATTTAATAACATCCTTCTCCAATCCTATCTTTTGGTATAGTTTTATAGAAATAGTAAGTACTTGAGCACACTGAAATGTTATCTGGCTGTTTGAGTTAATTTTATGCCACAATCACTGTAAAAGAGAAACAAAAACAAGTTCTCTGTAAGGGATCAAATCCCTGGGTATCAGTCTTTCTTCTTCCTGTACTCATCTTCACTAGTAGTTTCTTTTCTTTTACTGAGAAGTTGCTGCCTGCCTGGAGTGCCTGCCTAGCAAATACAAGGCCCTGAGTTCAAACCCCAGTACTGCCAAAAAAAAAAAGAAAAAAGAAAAGAAAGAAACTTAATTCAAGGGGATCTGGAAATATTAATCTTCTGCTGTCCTGGGAGTCTGACAAGGGTTTAAATCTTGACTGCTATTGTTTCCACTTCCCAGTCTGTGGATCCAGGCTCTAAGCCTGCATCCAACTTAGGTTTACAATGTTTTGCTCTAACTTACAGCACTTTCACCTCCAGCCTAATTGTGCCCAGGATGTTGCATTTTTATTTTTTTTTATACTAGTGTTTGAACTAAGGATGTTGGCCTTCTACAGATTCCAGGAGGAAGATATTAGATTCTGCTCTTCATGTTCCAGTTAAGCCTAAATTAGGTCCCTGGTATCCAGTGTCTCTGAGCTGCCTCTGGCTGTTGCTCTTTAATTGACTCTGGTAGGATATCACTCAGCCCCTCTGCTTTGGATGAGTACAGCTTATAATCTGCTCTTCACTTTCCACATTCTGACACAAATTCTGATCATTTTGTCTCCTTTCATTCCTTAATCCCACTTCTTTTCCAGCTCCACTGATCTAGCTCTGACTTCTTTCATGTCAATGACTTCAAACAGCCCTGAAAGGCTCACCTTGCTACAAGTTTAGTTTCTATACTCAGCCACATTATTCTTCTAAACTCTGATCATATTAACACATAACCCCAATTTCCTAGTACCTAAATAATTAAATGAAAGGGATTTTATGGCCCTTTTGAAAAAAGCATGATCCCAATGTACTTTTCCAGCTCATCTTTCACCATTCCCAATAAACTCTCTAGCCCTACAACGTTCCTTGCCATGTCTAAGCCTACCCTCTCTTCCACACAAGCTGTTTCCTTGCTGAACTGACAGCCTCACATGTGAAGCCTTCCTTCCTGAACTTCCTTGTGAGATGAATCCTTAACACTTCTCTGCACCTACAGCACACAGGTCAAGTTTATTGACTCACATATGTCACTGTTGTGCAATTACGCTACAATGCCCATGAGCTCTTTGAGAGCAGGGGCTGTATCCTTCATCACGGTACTGCCTAGCACTTTGGTAAGTACTGAATGTTTATTAAAAGGAAATAGGTACCTATTTTTCTGTTTTAGCTCCTGCACAATTAATTTCCAACCTGCTCTCTGGGCATAAGTCGCTTTACCCTCTTGCAGCATCCTCAGTGAGGGATCCCCACAACATACTAGCTGACCATGAAAAGGCAACTAACTACTGTCTTCCAAGAGAAGACCCAATTTTCATCTCAAATCATAAAAATACTGAAGAACCTCAATGTATGGCTTAATGTAGAAATGTTGTCAGCATCTGTCACAAATTTGGGGAAGAAGATCATGTCACACTTTAAGAAAACTCAGTATAAACTTGTAGCACCACAGAATTCCTACTTTTGATGATGGTGGTGGTGGTGGCATAAAATACCAATAGCCTTGTCTTTTGAAAGGATCTGCCATGCTGCTGATGTAATCATTCTGAAAAGACACTTTCCGTTGGAGTTCAGCAATTTCTTCTAAAACATTTTCAAAGCCTCCTTTGTTGTCTGAAAAGGAAAGCCAGTCTATGAAGTTGGCATGAAATCATGTACTTCCTTTTTCTCTCAACATATAGACCATGAGAATCAGTGAATTTTATCAGTTCTTCAAAGCTGACTTTTAGTCTGGCCTTTAATAATTAGTTTTTTTCTAACACTAAGAGGACAGGCACATCCTTCTGTCCACCAGTTACAAAGTAATTCAGAGAAAGCAAGTAAGCAGATATTATTTCTTTTACAATTATAAATGCAAACACATTGTGTCTCTACAATCAAGTAAATCCCTCAATATCATATTTACACAAACTGTTTTCTAAATTCTTTAAGTAATTTTATTAAGTAATTATCACAACTCTCTAAGTCAGGTATGGAATTCATTTCCAATAGTAAAATACTTTTACTCAAGTCAGAAAACAAGATGATTTGATTTTACAACTACAAAACCACCCAAAATCAAAATCCAACACTACTTTACCAGCCCCAGTGAGGTCTAGTAAATTCCGAAGTCTTGTAATCTCCATCCTTTGCCTCTGCATTGTCTCATTCAGTTTCTTGATTTCTAGCACCTGTGAGTTTGCTCCTCCCATACCTACATCTGCTTTCTCCATCTCAACTGGAAACTATTAAAAAAAAAATCATACAAAGTTGCCAATGAATGGATTCTTTGACAGATGTGTTTATTCTTGCAATTTAGTTACAATTCTATAATTTTTATTTACTTTTTACCAGTGAGGAAACTGTCTTACTCCTTTACATTTATACTGCATTGCACCTGACACACAGTAGGTGAAAAGTACTGGTTGACTACTAATTGCAACTCAGCGTGCTTTGAGATATCACTTGCTCTACTTTAGTCTTCCAGGCACTGAGAAGAACCCATTAAGGAGGGTGGCTCAGGGTAGCAACACTGACCTGTTCCTCTCTCCCCCTGAGAAGTTTCTGCAGGAGCTCAATCTCCGCTTCTGCTCGGGTCAGGTCCCTGGCTGCTTGTGCTGCCTTTCGGCTGAACTTCTCTGCTTCCTGTAACTCCTGCTAGGACAGAGAATGGGAAGGGCACATTGCTATCACAGGTGGTCATCCTCATTCTTTCTTCCTCCGATTCCTCTGCTCCTGTCACATTGCCTGCCTGGCAGTCACATGCACATGAGATGCTAAGCCCCAAGATCGCTTTATGTTGTTCTCACTGCTGGGCAGCCTGCTCCATTCCAATAGGGGGCCAAGTAGGCAAGGGGCTGCACCAAAAGGAACAATGGCTACCTTCTTCACTGTACTGCAGTCTTCCAAGATTGGTCTCTCTTTCGGATTTCATCATTGAATTTTTTCTCCTATTATCTACTATCTCACTCTCATTTGTATCTGCATCCTATAAAGCACCATAACATACATTGCTTCAGACAGAAATCTTAACAGCCTTACAAGGTGACATATTTTTATATAATTGCACAAGATGAAAAATACGAAGTTCAGAGGGATTGTATGGCAAACCTTCAAAACCTCTGCTCAGGCAAATATTGAAAATGATCTTCCTAAGAAGACTCTATACTTTAAGGTAGGGATAATTGTTTCATCTGATGAGTCCTTTCAGGATAGGGCACAAAACATCAAATAATAAATTCATGGGGATGTGATGGGGGAAATATAATCTTCAGGTTTTAAGAAAAACAGACAACTTTGCAGTAACAAGAGACCAACTATACATGTTGCTGTATTTTCTGGCAGAAGCAACACTGGTGGAAACTTGTTCTGATCATGTGAACTAACCTCTGCTCGCTCCTGGTTAATTTTCATAACAGTTCCATGCAGGGACTGGAGCTGGTCTTTGGCAATGATGAGCTCAGCTGTAGCTAGTTTATCAGAAGCAGCCACAGCTTTCTTCAGATTCTTCAATTCATTATCTAAACCAAGAAACTGCTCCTGAGATTTGGCATCTTCATGTCTCTTCTAAGATAAAGGAACCACTACTTAGAGAAATTATTTGGTAGCAATAAATTAAGATGTAAGCTCTAGGAGGGCAGGGACTCTGTTTACTACTGCCTGTCCCATGTCTAGAATAATCCTTGATACACAGTAGGTGCTCCATAAATATTCATTAAACAAATAAATCTCAAAACTTAGTCAAGAGTCATTGGTCATAAATTCATTCATTCATTGGAAAAACATCTCTAGGCATTATCAACAATAAGTGGATGGGCCAGCCTTTAAATCACCGAATCAAGCCTGGGGCATATGGTGGTGAAGAAACACTGTTATTTTTGAGGTGTAAAAGAAGAGGCTTAAACAGGTAAATTATGCAGGGTCTCGTAGGCTTAAGAATTTTGGTTTTTAGGAGCAACGGAGACTATGAATCAAGGCAGGACTGACTACAGCCAATTCCCACTTTAGAAAAGGCATGGTTGGTTGTTCTGCAGAGCTCTATGAGGAAGCCACAGCAGCTGTCCAGAAGAAAGATGATGGCTAGACAAGGTGGTAGCATCAGAGAAGGGAAAAGAACATATATTTCTGATATACTGCGGAGGTGGACTCAACAAGACATGGGAACTGATGAACCATTCCCAGTGAAGTATGAAGCACACTGAGGCTGGGAGAAGGGAAATGGCAAATGTGAGGAATGAAAAGGCACAAAATAGTAGAGATGGGAAAGTGAGCTTACTGATGAAAGGGGTAATTTACCCATGTGAGATTGGTGACCATGAGATTATATAAAATATATATCCACTATGCTGAGTGGGTGATTTTTTTTTCTTTAGGAAATGGGAGTAGATCCAAAAAAACTAGGTAATTTCAGTTCTGTCAGGGAAGTAAGATAGGAGAAAAAGGCAAGAAATTTGAGGCTATTTGCTTAGTGGCAGACCATGAAGACTGAAGGATTAACAGATATAAATGGTCGGGTTAATGAACTGAAAGCTAAGTAAGATTGAAAAATAGTTATTACGGAGCTATCAACAAGATAAAAGGGTTATGTTCGGAGTACAATACTTCACTTTCTGATTTCTGAAGTGGTGGGTGAAATTTCTGAATTTAACAAGGTCTAGGATGTGATGAAAGTAGGTTGAGGGTGGATGGAGAAAGGCCATCAGAGAGGCCAGGGCATTAGAAAGGAAGATGAATTTAAAAGTAATTTCCCATGGATGTGCCTAATAGAACAATAATGTCGCCATTTATAAATCGGCAGCCATTTTACCCTCAGAACTCACTTGAGAAACTCCCAAGGACAAATTCCCGTGCTCTAAGACAACCCCACCCCTACCAGAGACTAACATGCATGCGCTAACTTCCTTAACCTCCCACTTCTATAAAAGCCACGCCTGGCCCAGGTTCGCTGCTGCACCATCTTTCTCCCAGCCAGCCTGGCAGTTTGGGCCTGTCATTAAACTTTGCTCTAAGGACTTGAGACTTTTCTCGGGAGGTTTCTTTATGAGCGGTGTTTTTCCTAACAGTGCAAACTGGGCAAGGGGTCTCTAAGGCTGCAAACTCAACTCATTATCATTTGTTAACTCTAAAGTTAGTCCTCACATTGCCAATTCTCTTGTTTCTATCTATCGTGACACTCTGGTCTCAAATTCTTGACTCAATGACAAGCATCTAGCTCTCTCTGAGGTCAGGTTCAGCTCTGAGCCAGCAATGCAGATAAAGGTGAACATGGACCACACATTGCAGCTAACCTGACCACCAGGGGCAGGCTAAGGCAGCAGGTATTTATGTGTCCCACTTTGCTAGCCTTCTCACCTTCTTCTCTAACTCTTGAAGTTGAGCCAGAATTCTCTCCTTCTCTTCATCAGCTTCCTGAAGTTGGAGATCTGTAAGGCCTTGGATTTCTTCCATACTTTTTAGATTTTCTTGCAAATAATGAATTTCATTTTCCAGCTGCCGTATTCTTGCATCATGTTGTCTCTTATCAAAATTAATCTGTGAAGAAATCAAATTTCAAGGATTTTTTTTTTTTTTTGGTGGGATCTTGCTATGGTAGCCCAAACTGGCCTTGATTTTTAGATCCTCCTGCCTCAGCATTCTGAGTGCTGGAATTACAGTCAAGAGCCACTACACACTGCTTTTCAAAGATGATTTTTAAGCAAAATAAAACCTTGCTACAGAAGTATCTTTTACTTTGTTATAGCGTATAATAAAAATTTGTACTAATAAGTTGTGGTGGATTGTTTTATCTTGAAATACTCTCTAGGTCCATCTGAATTTTAGTAACATAATTATGTTAAAAAAAAATTTAGATCCTGGGACCAGAACCACCTATACACTAGTAATGTGGTATTATTTATCTGTTTATTATAACCATTGCTTCCAAAACAAGAAAAACAATGCCACAAATAAGCCTGACTTAGACATCAATGACCATATTCTGGGTTGGATTTTAGCCACACCCAAGCAGACTTGTTATGAATGAAAATAACAAGTTATGCTAAATTTACATGAGAAAGAAATCATTGTAATTTTCTGAAAAACACTAGTATTTTCCAAGAGCTGCTCTCCAGCCACCTCGTGCCCTTTTCTTACTCTTGCTTCAAGAGCTCTTTCGCAGGCCTGCCTGAATTCTTCTTGTCCATTTGCCAGTGTCTCTTGCTGCAGAGCCATTTCTTCATGGAGTTTCCTCTCTCTATCTTGCGCTTCTTCTCTTTCCCACTGGGAGCGAGCAAGGATCTCATTGAATTGTTTCTGTAAATCAGCAAGACTTTTCCCTAAGACATCTGAAGGACTATGGATTCTGGTAAAGAAAAAAAAACAAGATGGTATAAATGTGACATTTTAGCTTCCATGTTACATGCAAGCATGCTGTTAACATTAGCATAAGAGTAAAAAGGGCTGTACAAAGGGACTGGTGTCAATCTACAGCAAGTTACTGAGTAGCTCCTAAGTACAATTCAATGTCTTATCAAATGACTGCTGCCACTCTGAAAACAAAAGCTCATATCAGGCTAAGAAAAAATGTTCACATATTTGAAATTATCCTCAGTTTTCTTTTGGTACTTGTTCTCTGTTTAAAATGCATAATGTGGATTTATTTCCTGACCATCGTAGAAAACTTTCATGAAAGACTCTTACATATTTTTGTTTTTCTCATTAACACCAAAAAAGTATAAAAGATCTAAAACATATTTAAAAAATTAGTGACAATTAGAATTAAGTGATCTTGTATCACTTTCTTGGAAACATCCTAAAAACTTTGCAAAAGAAATAGCTATTACCATAACTTACAAAGGCAAGTTCATCATCCACTCTCACACAACTCTGAGGTTGTGAGGTACACTCTATACTTGGAAGTCTTTATTTTTCCTTACCTCATTTCCCCAGCTCCTAATATCAGTTTTCTCCTTAGTTCATCCACACGAGCTGCCACTTCTTCTGGACGAATCAAACCATCAACTACACAGTTAAGATGATTCTGGAAATCTTTCAGTTGCTGCTTTAACAGGTTATTGTCATCCTATGGAGGGGTTGAAATGGGGAGTATTTGTTATTTGCCTTCATATTTTCACTACTAACAAATTAACAAACATATTCAGACCACAGAAAAAAATTCAGACAGTGTCAAATATAATGCCCAGAAGATTAGGGAAGGAGAAATGACAGAGCTATGTAGCCCCCAACAGACTGACAGAGTGACTTGGGTTCCTAGTAAGCTGTCTTCTTTCCAGAATGAGTGTAAGAAGATTTTGGTTCACTATAACAATGATTTCTGAGGAAGAACAATGTCGAGTGGGTGTAACTTGTACTCTCTATCAGGAGGTTAGTAGGTCAAGTAACCAAAGATCTGGTTCTAACTAAGGTAGTCAGTCCAGACTGGGAGCATGGCTCAAATGGTAGAGCTTCTGCTTAGCAAGCATAAAGCTGTGAGTTCAGTTTTATGTTTTGCCAGAGGTAAAAACCAACAACAAAACAAAAAACAAACAAAAAAACCCCAAACAAAATACTAAGGTAGCCAACCTTTTGGAAAGTTGACTTCAGTTTCTACACTAAAGGAGAATATATTTTAATTCTTTTCTTAAAACATGTAGATTGAAATATTTGCAGGTAAAACAAAGATGTATGAGATTTCTTTAAAATGTTACAGTCAAAAAAATAGGTAGACTAAATGAAACAATGAATGTTGACAATTGTTTAAACTGATAATGAAAAAATAAAGGATAACACTCTTCCATTTTTTATTTGAAAATTTTTATTAAAAAACTAATAACCTAATGAAGACCCAATACACACACATACCCTTACCAAGAATGGAAAACACACACATTTTTTACAATGTTTACTTCAGAAGTTGAACTGATAGCAGTAAAAACTAAATCCTACACTATTAGATTTCTTTAAGCTGTGAGGGAAAAAAATATTTGAGGTGTTGGAAGAAAATAGTAACTGCGTGAGCTTATTTGTCACAAACCTCCCTGCGTGGTTTTGTGTGTTTTTTGGAGGTCTTCCCCCAAGCCACATAAACTCTGCCCCTTTATTTCTGGTGCCACCTCAGCCAGCCAAGCAAGTCCCCACAAACTGGTTCAGGTACTTGTTTGTACAAAAGACATCTATCTTTGAGAGAGTTATGTGGAATACCCTGTACACCTGCTTCTCCTATAGATTACTTGGCAGATTACTGAGAACAGCTTTAAAAGTTTTCTGTAATACATTCTCCACAAATAAAAAATAATTACATTTTAAATAGCATCCTTTCTGAGAGGGGGGGACTGTGAAAACTGTTTACAACTGGGAACTCCTACTGTAACCCACAATAGTGAAATTGATAGATAATTCAAAGACATTTCAGAGGAAGAAGAATGCACCAATCTAACAATTTTAGCTCAGTCTAGTGACAAATCTGTTTCTAGGAGAAATGAGAGGTATCGCTTTCATCCCTGAATTTACACACTATGCTGCTTACTACTGGCACTGCCTCCATCTCTCTATTCCATCATGTTAATCTTAAGACCATAGTTGCAAGACCACGGTCTGCCCCATCCAGACTTCATGTTTTCTAATAATTCAAGTTGCTTACTACATGTTAGAACAGGTTGTTAAATGCCTGGCTAAAGATATCATCATCTTTGGGTGACCTATATATGAACATATTCCAGGGGAACAAATCTTTACCTGCAACTGTTTAAGCTGTGTGTGGAGCTCACTGTTCTCTTGTTCCTTTTCTTCTGAGAACTTGACCATTCCAAGAGCATTCTTGAGGGACTTCCTTTCCTTCTCAAGTTCTGCTTGAAGTGCTGATTGTTCTAACTGTTGTCAGAGGAAGCAATGATAGAAAAATGTAAAATAGTAGTATTTATGATCCAAAAGGGCACAAATAAGTGTACATATACACACAAGACCTTGCTACCTATAATTTTGTTTGCACTATGAAATTTAAAAATCCAAGATCATTTTCCATATAAACTATGACTACTTAAGGAGGAGAGAGCATCAGAATCTGGCAACCCTAAGACCTACCTTTAAAAGCAAACTGTGGTCTTAAATTACCTGTATCAAAATCACTTGATGACTGCTACACTGCAGTCAGAAGCTGTACTGTCACCCTGGGCAACTTTGTCAAGGCCATCTTTGATGCCATCTCCAAGACCTGCAGCCTACCTAACACCTGACCTCTAGAAAGAAACCATGCTCACCAAGTCTCCTTATCAGGAATTCCCTGATCATCTTGTGAAAACCTATGCCAGAGTCTCTGTGCAGAGGACCCAGGTTCCAGCTGTAGCTACAACATAGTTTTTATACAAGAAAAATAAAGTAAATGAAACCTGTTAAAAAAAATCACTTGGTGTATCTGCTAAAAATGCAGATGCGGCTGGGTGTGGTGGTGTGTGTATTCTATAATACCAGCACTTTGGAGAATGAGGCAAAACCAAAAACAAAAAAGCACTGCCAAGACCGTGTCTCAGACTTGATGGGTCAGAATCTCTACTGTGGGGCCCAGAACCTTCATTCAGCAAGCTTCACAAGTGACTCCATTTAGCTGAAGTGTACCAGAGACCTGCAATCTGAGGAACAAGATCTTTTATGCTCCATATTCTCATGTGTGGTTTGGAGACCAATCCTTCACTCCTGGTGACAAGGGGTCTCTTTCAATACCAAGTCAAACAGGTAGAAAGCAAGACTTATAAAAAAAATAATAAAGCACAATTGAAGTACAAAGGACAAAATATATCAACTAAACTAGTAAGGACTGACTTGCAAAAAGGAGATGCCATTTAGAAACTAGTTACTGTTACTTAAAAATATGAACCTCTTGTTTTCTGACTCTAATCTTGCCCACTATAGTTTTGTAAAACTTGGTACTCTTGAGAAATATGTGTGTGAGTGTGGCCTCTGCCCACCACACTGCCTTTGAACTGAAGGCCTCAGGTGTTTGGCCACTTGAGCCATGCCTCCAGCCCTTTTTGTTTCAGTAATTTTTTGGATAGGGTCTTGTGTTTTTTTGCCCAGGCTAGATGGATTTCAATCCTCTTATATGTACCTCCTGCATAGCTGGAAATACAGGTATGTACAACACCTAGCTTCCCTCCCAACCCCCCAGGGCTAACCTCAAACTACGATCCCGCTAATCACCACCTCCCAAGTAGCTGGGATTACATGCATGAGCCATTATGCCTGGCCAAAACATCATTTCTATTCACTTCTGTAGGGTACTTCCCTGACTACCTCCTCTCCTTTGCCATAGAACCCTGTCCCTTTTTTTGTCCTCCTGTTTTCTGAGGACAGTGCCCATGTCTACACTGATTCCTAGAGTATCCATAGCATCTGGCCATCAATAATTTGCAAGTATAACAAACTAGTGGATCTTTCAACCAACCATAAAAGGAAACAGAAAACTAAAATTTAACATCAACTTTTAAAGTCTCTTAAAGCTATTGTGAGAAAGAAACACTAGAATTTATTGAATACCAACTACAAGGTGCTTTCATGCTCTCATTTATCCTCACCATCTACCATTTTATACAGGAAGAAAAGGCTGAGTCCAGAGCCATCAAGTGATTTGCCTGCTCATGCTCACACGCGGAGAGCAGGTGAACTCAGGATGTCTGGCTCCAAAAATGCATCTTTTCCATCACCCACATAACATTATAGTAAAAAGTATTTAATATTAGATTAAAATATATGTAAAGGAAGGATATACATATATATATATATATATATATTATATATATATATATATATATATATATTCCCCCTCCCCACGGTACTGGGGTTTGAACTCAGGGCTTAGTGCTTACTAGGCAAGTGCTCTACCACTTGAACCACGCCCTCAGCCCCTTGAGACGGATTTTTAAAACTAGTGTATATTACCTGAACAAAGTGGTTCCACTGTGGTATTTACACACATGCACATGTGTACTTGGACCACATTCACCCCCTCTATTAGGGAAGTATGATATCTTAAGGCACAAGCTACTTCCCTTCTAGTTGGAAATGCTCTTACTTACCTGAGTGAGCCTTGTAAGTTTTTCCAACTCTTCCCTGAGCTGGTTGGCTTCAGCATCCCTTAGTTTTAGTTGAGCCTCTAGCTCAGTCTCATAGGCACTGAGATCTCCTTGGGTCTGCTGCAAGGATGCATTCACTTCATGCTGTTCCTGGAGGGCACTTTCTAACTCTGCGAGCTCCTGGAAGAATTCAGTGTGTTTAACTGCAGAACCCTCACTATGCTGCTTAAGCATCCGCAAGTCATTACTAGTAACTTGAGTACAGTAGACCAAATGCTGGCCAGTCTCTGATGCCTGGCACAGAAAGTTTTCATTAGCAACTTGATGAAGCTGCAGGCTATGCACATTCTAGTTTGAAAATAAAACTCCTGACTAAATGTAGTAAGAAAAGTTAGAAAGATACCAACATGTTGCTTTCCAAAGTAACCAATTGTGTGACTATTAAGTGAAAACAAACTTGAAGGAAGAAAGGATGGGGGGAAAAGAGGATGAAATATAAGGCCTATTTTTCATTAAGGATGATAGAGTAATGTGAATGAGTGATAACAAGAATTTAAGTACACACTGATTAGCATATCACAGTTCTAATTAATTTTATTCCTTCTTTCCTTTTTCTCTCTCTCTCTTCCCCCCCTTCCTCCCTTCCTTCCTTTCTTCCTTATCTCATTTTCTTTTTGTGATTAAGTGTTACTACTTACTTGGCAACTTATAGAATTAGATCAAACTATTTAAAAGGAAGATCCTGTGATGAGAACTTCTACAAAAAGAGTTTCTCAACAGGTGGTCCAAAGACAACTTAGTATCTGAATCATCAGGGTTGCTTGTTTGAAAAGCAGATGCCACATATAACCAACAAAAGATTAATATCCAACATATATAAAGAATTCCTACAAATCATTAAGAAATGGGTGAATAATAAGAGGGAATTCACTGAAGAGAAAATCTGAATGGCAAATAAATAAAAAGTGCTCAACCTCTTCTGTGATCAGAAAAAAAACAGTTAAAATAAGATACTATTTTATATGGAACACAGAAGAACAAATTAAACAAACCCTAAGAAAATAATTAGGCAAATACAGAATGTGGGACAATCCACAGCACTACCACCTTAGATTCTACACACACACACACACACACACACACAAACACACACAAACACACTCTCTTACAAAAGACATTCTTGGGATAATCAGGAAAATGGGAATGGCTCACATCTTAGATGGCATTAGGAAATTACTGCGAGTTTTCCTAGGTGTAATAATGGTATTGTAGTGATGCAGGAAACTTATTTTAAGAGATGTATGATGAAGGGATGATATAATGATGTCTGCAACTTTCTAATGAGCACACAAAAAAAGGAAATGTATCTGTAAGAAAGAGAGAAAACAAGTATAGCAAAATATTAAAGCTAAGAAGGCTCATAGATATTCATTGAACTATTCTTTCAACCTCCTTGTAAGTGCAAGAATTTTCATAATACAAAGATGGAGGAAGATGTAGTCTAAAACTCAGTAGGTTGGTAAACATGAAATCCGACATGTTACATTTCCTATCAGGTATGGTGGCACACAACTGTAATCCCAGTACATAGGAGGTAGAAGAAGGAGGACTGCAAGTTTGAGGTCAGCCTGGGAGCACAGCAAGACCCTGCTTCAGAAAAACCAACAAGGAAAAAAACATAAAATTACATTCCTGTATCTGATAATTACTGTTTATATTGGAAAAATGTAATCATTCTTTGGAATCACATGCTGAAGTATTTGGGGCAAAGGCGCAGGATGTCTGTAATTAATTCTCAAATGTTTCAGGAAGAGTTATCTATTTAAAAATGCATATAAGGTCATGTGAAAAATACATACAAGAAAGAAAAAGCAAATGTAGCAAAATATTAATTGGTGACTGAACGAAAGGTAAATGTGAATTAAATAATTTAAAACAAATACTAAAAAACACTGGACAACACTAAGGTGTTGGTGAGGATGTGGCAGAATGGTAGTCTTTACACTTTTGGTTGGAGTAGAAGCTGATAGAATCTCTATGGACAATAATTTGACAAGACTAGTGAAGTGAATTAAGGATGAATATACTCTGATTCATAGTTCTACTTCTGCTCACAGTTCCTGTGTTAGTCAGTTTTCTGTTTCTGTGACAAAAACCTGAGATAATCAACTCACAAAGAAAAAGGGTTCATTATGTTCAGGTTTCAGAGGTTTCAGTCCATGGCCACTTTTGGCTCTGTTGCTCTATGCCAGTGCATGAGCACATGTGATGAGCACATGGTGGAAAAAGCCTGATCACCTCATGCCAGTAAGGAAACAAAGAGAAAGAAAGAGTAGGGTGTGCGTTCCCAGTATCTTTTCCAAGAGCACACTCTCAATAATCTAAAATTCCTTCCACTAAGCCTGACCTCCTGCAGGTTCCACTACCTTCTAATAAGGCCACAGGCTGGGGACCAAGCCCTTAATGCGTGTGCCTCTGAGGACACTTACCCAAAACACAGCAGTCCCCAAGCTCAAGATGTGTTAAAGAATGTTGTATTTATCATTGTTTGTAACTATAAAAGACTGGAAACAACCCAACTGTCCCCCAAAATAAGAATGAATAAACGCTAACTTTATGGCACATACAATGGGATGCTATACCCATCAATAAAAATAAAAACAGAACTACATGTATCAATGCACACTCATTCTCAAAAACATAAATATGAAGAAAGAAAAGAAGTGAAAAAGAACATAGACACTGTGATAGCTTTTATGTAAGTCCTAAAATCATGGAAAACAAAACCACATGTTGCTTAATGAAGTTTATATATCTACAAAATAAAAGAATAGGGATCCAGGAAAATCATAACCATATTCAGAGTTTTGTATTCCCTCTGGAAGGGAATCCACAGAAGTTTTCAAATATATCTCCAATGTTTTATTTCTTAAGCTGGGTTCTGAGTACACAGTGCTAAAAGTATTTTTGATACTTTCTATATGCCTGAGAATTTTCATAGTATTAAAAAATATTAATTCAGATTTCTGGAGGCAGTTTTATCAAGCATGACATTTCGGAATCTGTGGTTCTTTATACATGATGAAGTCTGCCAAAAACCTAAAATACTGCAAGTGAAATCTGCAAGTGAATGGGCAATAAATCAGGTATGCAAAGTTGTAATCTACAACGTTGTGCCTGTCTTCTTGTAAAATAAAAAGTATCAAGTAATAACAGTAAGATAAACCATGTTATGCTTATAACAATTTTATATGCTGCATAAATAATAAAATGCAAACATTTCATATAGCACTTTGAAGAGATAAAATTTCATTTTCTTTATAGATTAATTTGGTGATAATATCTTTCAGGGACAGAAATAGAGCTAAAATAATCTTCCTTTTCTCCATAAAGGAAAAATAATGATCTCAAATGTATCAAAGCTAAGGAAGAAAAAAAATCTTTTAATGGAAAAAAATATCAAACAGCCACTAATACTTTTTGCCACTTATAACTGTATCATTTCTAACTTTATCAACTAACTTAACTAGAGGTCATCTATTTCTAAAGCTAAGGAAAGCAGAAGAAACAAATGATACCTTCCTCATGTTTTCTGCATCCATGGCAACTATTTCCAGTTCATCCCGCTCCTGCTTCACCTCAGTCAATCTCTGTAGCAATGTCTCTTTCTCATCCTGGAGCTTCCTGCACTCGTTCTGCGCCTGAGTGGCCTGGCCTTTGATGGCCCCCAGGTATTCTTGCAACCCACTGATGACACCTTCTAAATCCTTCTTCAGTGCTTCATTTGTTGCTATCTGGCCTAGCATGATGGAAAAAGAGTAATAATATGTATTTTAAACTTACTGCTTTGCCTCCTATTGACTTGTTACTAGCCAAGAGTGAAATTCTAAGCTTCTAATTATATTCTACCTTATTTTTCTGTTTCAAGATACAAAGATAATTTTTTCCTATTATCTGTAGTAGAGGAAAATTAAGCAGCTATACAATAAAAACAGTATATGGGAAGTGCTTATAAAATGCCTGCTTCATGCCATAAAAAGTTTAAATTATTTCCAAACAAAATAACTGAAAAGTGTGCAGAACTGTGAGTTTTTGCTGAGCACACAAAACCACTCAAAATAAAAGACTAGACCAATGCAAGACTGACAGAATAAACATGTAACCTGAAGACTTAAAAAAACCAAAGACAGCATAGGTACCCACTATGTTGCCAGACACTTTTATAAACACCATTTTAATCCTCTGTAAAACTAATGATCAAGGTAGAAATAACTTTGCTCAAGGTACCATAGCTGATAATGGCAAAACTGGGACTGGGGCCTTTTTTACACTGAGCCCAGGCTCTCACTACTTCAGCATGTTTATCTTGTTCTTCCTCTATTATGGGAATCTCAAAATTTTAAATTGCATTCTAAAAGTGGGTAATAAATTTTTTCTACACTGTTTTTTAACTAGACACTGAATTTTCTGATGCTAATGGGCTCTTCGCTTCTGAAAGGTTTTTTTTTTTTTTTTTGCCTTAGAAGACAATCACATAACAGAGCTTTATCATGATCATGAATTGACTTCTTCCCCACTCAGAGGAACAACCTGTCTCATTAAGCATCGATGCAACAAACATAATTAAAATAAAACATTTTAAATTTTATTAAATACTTTTGGGTATTCTGCAAACATTTCCTGTCAAATACCAGTACTAACAGTTGCACTGTCAGCTAGTATCTGGATTAATGCCTGTCTGGGTATCACTTTTTTTTGTTAGTACTGAAACCGACTGTTAGTACTGAAACTGACTTGCTTCAAATCATACTTAAATTCTTACCTTCAGTAAGTTGTTGTTCAAGGTCCTTAATCTCTTCAGTTTCCTTAGCAATTCTAGAAAGTATTTCATCCAAATGGCTTTCAAGTTGTTTGTACTGCTTGGTCATAATGTCAAACTGTTGTTCTTTACCCCTCTTTTGTGCCTTCATATGAGACTGAATTGAAAAAACAAAAACCTCAAGTTCTTTAAACTTTTAAAAATAATAGCCCTTAACAATTCCTTTTCTTTTTTTTTTGGTAGGGAGGGCGACTGAACCCAGAGCCTCATGCAAGCTAGGCCAGAATTCTACTGCTTGAGCCACACCTCCAGTCTATTTTGCTCTGGTTTTTTGGAGATGGAATCTTGCAAACTATTTGCCCAGGCTGACCTTGAATCAATCCTCTGGATCTCAGCCTCCCAAGTAGCTAGGATTACAGGTGTGAGGCACCAGTGGCCCGGCTCAGTTAATATTTTTTTTAAAAAAGAATTAAAAACTCAAATGTGGTAATTGCATCTATTATGTGTCAAGGCCTATATAATTTTCACAAGAATAGTTTTTCTTCAAACCTCAGGGTAACTTGATGTAGGAATCACCTCCACTTTACAGATGAAAAAACTGAGTATCAGATAGGTTAAGTGATTTCTTCCAAAGACACAGCCAGTAGGTAATGTAGCATAGTTCCGTGTTATTTGCACAGAATCAAAATGTGTCTTTTAAAAATGGTTTCCAGAGTTAATTATACTGACAAACAGTGTATTTATTAAAAAAGATTTAAAAAATATACTCCAAAATGTTAACAAAGATTTTTTATCTTGGTGGAGATTTTAATCTGTATTTAAAAAATTTTTAGCCAGATGCCAGTGGCTCACACCTATAATCCTAGCTTTTGGGAGGCTGAGATAGGGAGGATCAAAGTTCTAGGCCAGCCCAGGCAAATAGGTTTCATAAGCCACCATCTCCAAAATAACCAAAGCAAAAGGACTGGAGGTAGAGCACCGGTTTTGCAAACATTAAGCCCTGAGTTCAAACTCCAGTCCCACCAAAAAACCAAACAAGTAAACAAAAAATAACCTTTTAGGTTGGAGGGAAGTTTTATAATAGATAACTAATGCCTTTTTAATCTGAAAAAAAAAAAAACCCACATTAAATTCCTAAAAACATTTCTTAGGGAAAAGAGAGACATGAGATAAGTAAATATTTGCTTGGAATTCAAGTTTATTTTCAATCTCCTATTCAAACAAACATTTTGCTTTTGCATGCAATAAACTGGGACCTCAAAGACCTTTTAGCCCAGTACATCTGGAGTTTGAGAGCCTTAGGGAGGCACACCCCTCCACACACAAGCCCCTGAGGGAACACACAGCCTCCCCACACACCTACACCTTCTCACAGCCTAACAGTCATGACATTAGAAAGCCCTGCTAGTTGAAATGAATGGACTGTACTTCTCAGTTGTGCTGGGGGAAAACTAAACTGAGAACCAATTGTCTAGTCTAACCCTTCCTTTTCCAAAAGAGAAAACTGAGTCTCAGATCTATCAAATAACTTTCCCAGGTGTCTTAGACAACTGTTCATATGTAGACAAAATAATGCCCCAAAGAACTTTTGTTCTCCCACTCACTCAACCCTTTACCCCCATGACCCTAAATCTGCCGCACAGGATCAGAATAAAACAATAATTGAAGAAAAAGCCATCAGAAGAGAGAAATGTATCATTGTCTGAACAACAAATGCCAACAGTTCTTCAGTCTAAGACCCATTTGATTATAAAAGAACATTTCTTAATTTTGGATGCCTGCTTCCCCCAAATACTAGGAAGAAAAGTATTTCTGAATAACACATTGGTGGTAGCTTGACTTGAAGGCTTTTATTTTACTACTGGTAATTTACTACTGGGATTTTCAAATCTGGTCTTTTCCCTAGACTCCTAAAATATTTCTGATATCAATCTGTTAATGGTACTTTTTGTTCTGAAACCTAGTAACTGCAGATAACAGCTTACATCTTTAGTAAATTTAGGGTTTTTATGGTTCAAAGAAAGAATAAAAAAACTGTTCCAGAAATTCACCGTTAAAATTCCACTGAAACTTCTTTATTGCAGGACAAATTTGGCTCAAGAAGTCAGGGATGTGCATTAAATACATGGTAGCCACAGCAGATTCTGCTATTTTCACAACCCTGGAGCTCACAAAAGAGTTATTGTAAAAACAGGAACTTACATATCTGACTCCTCCTCCTTCCAAATCCTTTGTCCGGAGAGAGAAAATGATCACACCTTAGTTAGAATGTGTCCTACAAAAACTGAGCCGTTGCGAACAGGGACACTGTGGGCAGAACTCTTTCTAATGCCGTCTTCAAATTCACGTGCACTTCCCTCTCTGACAGCCACATTTTTGCAAGCGCCTCGGAACCTCAGCCACTTCCCAGAGCTTCAAACCACGTTCCGGGCAGGAGTGAGCGGCAGCCCAGTCAACCAGTCAGCAGCAGTCTCTGAGGGCGGGCTCCGCCCTCCACGCTTCAAATCAAAACACAGGAAGCTCCCGAGGGCCAATCACGCCCAAGCGCCGCAAACAAGGCGGCCGATCCCAGCGGAGAAAGGCGTCAGCGCACACTGCCACCCGCGTGGCCGACAGCCGGGCGCAAGATGCTCTTTATCATGCTGACTCCTGCCACATCTGTGCGTCGAGATATGGACAGCTTAACTAAGTGGGGTTTGATTTTTAAATGGAACCTTCTCCTTTTCAAACCTACTGAAACGCTCTTATTTTTTGAAAACCTCAGTAGACTTAGCTCTGAACTAATTTTAAAATAATTTCTTTAGACCTTTCATCCCTTTATGAGGAGAGGGTCATTGTAGCAGCTTAAGCCTCTTCCTAAAAGGGCGATTTAGGGCAAATCATTTAATTTTTCTAAATCACATTTTCATACTCTGCAAACTGAAAAGAAAACACAACCAACCTCGAGTGGGTGGCATAAATACCGGGCACATACTATGTTTTCTATCATCTCATCAGTCAAGATTTTACTTCTAGATTCTATCTGTTATTCAGAAAGATACTTCATCTAATTAGATAACACAAGTCAATTATTTTAAATAAAAATCCATCTAAATCTAAAAAAAATATTCGGAACGCCCCTCTTGATTCTCTTTTGCTAAAAGGCTTACATTGTGGGGTGCCTAACAGTAACTTCACGCAAATGAGAAAAAGATGCTTCTTCTAGGTGAACACATTTTAAAAGGGTGTCCTCTGGTGCCAGGACTAGGGGCTGTGTAACCTTAACTAACTTTAAGTAATTTTAACAACACCAAAAAGGAAACTTGGTTTGCAAGTTTCATTCCCACTAGCACAGATTGATTCTGGCTACCATCAAAACTTGGACTCCATTTCTATATGTCTCATTTAGCCCCTTTCTATGTGTAATTCTTTATAGGAATACAGTGAAAATTAAGCTCCCTATCTGCCAAAAATGTCAGCTGTGAAAGCAAACACACAATGCAGGTTCTAATTAGGCTCACGTCAGACAACTGGAACAGTCAGCGCATTGAGCTTTGTGTAGGACCTGTAGGTTGGCTCTTTTTACCTTCCAAGATGCAAGCACAAAGCAACAAAGGCTGGCCGGTGGGGATACAGACACCAGCAGGATTGTCCTCAGGGACCTTACATAGACAACAAACTTCTGAGCAAATAAATGTAGTAAAGATGCAGTAAGATACTATTGTAACTTATGCGTTAGAATAACTAATGTGTAACTATGCATTACACATTGTAGTAATTAAAACCTCTGATTTTTCATCTAACAAAAATTCCTTAAAATAATCAAGTCTACTTTTGGTTTCAATGTTAATACTAAGTCTTAGGCTTTTGTTGGAATTTATATCTAGTGATAAAAAGGTTATCCTTTGTCAAAATTAGCTGGTACATAAAAATATTTTTTTTCTAAAATGTTTAAAGGAATAATCAAATAAGTTGGCAAGTAATTAAAGCAATTATAGTGCACTGTTATTATGATAAATTCTATGATTTCTTTTAATTCAGAGATCTCTTTAATTCAGAAATTCTATGATTTCTTTTAATTCTTTATTACTCAAAATATACAAGGAAAATGCATAGGAAAATTTTTTTACTTATTTTAGAAATTTTAGCTAAAATATAAGCCATTAGTAAGATTTCTCAAGGTACTGGTTGATAGAAAGAGACAAGAGCCTAACCCTATCACTTAGCCACCAGACCGCATCTGGCCACATGTTAGGAAGACATACTCCAGAGATGTTTTATTTTTAAGGACAAAAACATAACAATATGAAACAGCAAATAGATTTAATAGAATGTATGCATAAAGGATTAAAGAAGTAGACAATAGACTCTGAACCTTTTCTTTCTGCTTTTAAGAAAGAAAAAGCAAAGAGAAACAAAAGTAAGAAGTTTGTAGAGCATCTTGAAGCAAGTTTATCTAGCTCTGAAATAAAATGAAACTCAGCTATTTAAAAAAAGAAAAAAGTACCATGCAGCCATGGAGGTACTAATGCTACCTCCTTCAAGCCCCAGGTTGTTTTATTTTGGACACAAACACACATTTCATATGTATATATACACGTATTCTTATATCATACACATACATACATACGCACATGGAATATATACACATAAAAATTATATATATGGTTACTTAAACTAAGAGTCTTTCAGAAAAGACTCTGCTAAAAAATTATGAGACATTAGATGGAATAACATTCCAGTTTCCATAGAACAAGTCAAAGCTTGTATTTTACTCACATGCTTTGGGTCTTTGGAATCCAGGCTATCTATGGCCATTTGCAGGTCCTTGACTTCCTTCTGCTTTTCAGCCATTTCTTGCCTTTGTTCTTCCATCTGCCTTTCCAGATCCAGAGCTTCCTGGCGTAATTTACTTAGAAGTTGTATTCTACCACTCAAATTTTTGAAAAGAAGGTCTTTCTCTGCTTCTGAAATCTAATCCCCCAATACCCCAAAACATAATTAACAAAAGACAGCAACAATGATTTATAAAGAGAACCTCTACAATTTAAAAAACTATTATTTGTTCTATCAATTTGTTTCTAAATAAAAGTAAAATTTGGAAATTATCCAGGGATTCCATGTATACCTTATGCTTTCATTCTAATTGTATGTAGAATATCTTATTTCACAAAAATTTATGAAAAAAATTTCATAACAGATATAAATGAAGTTATCATTCTAGTACAAGTAACTTGTAAAATATTAGTCATAATCATAGTATTAAAGATAGCTGACTTTCTACAGTATTTACAATGTGCCAGGTACTGTTCTAAACTTCAATTTACTTTAAATTTTAACTAACTTAACTCTAAAGATACTTTAATTTAATCCTCAAAACATGTTAAGATAGAAAGAATATTTATTCCAGTCAGGCATGGTGGCACACATCTTTAATCCCTACTTCTTGGGCAATGAAGATGGAGGAGGATCAATGTAATGGGCCAGCCAAGCAAAAGGTTAGCAAGACCCTATCTCAATAAACAAGTTAACACTGGTGGAGTGGCTCAAGTGGTAGAGCACCTGCCTAGCAAGCACAAGGTCCTGAGTTAAAACCCCAGAACTGCCAAAAAACAAAACAAAACAAGTTAAGCATGATGGTACACATCTGTAATCCTAGCTACTAGGGAAGTAGAAGCAGGATTGCGGTCTGAAACTGGCCTGAGCAAACTCAAGAGACCCAATCTAAAAACCAAACAAAAACAAAAGAGCGTGGGGTGTGGCTTCAATAGTAGAGTGGCTGCTTAGCAAGTGTGAAGCCCTTAGTTCTAAATCCCAGTAATGGAAAAAGAATATTGAGCCCAATTTCCCAACTTTACAGGAAGGAAACTGAGTTGTGGAAAATGTAGACCTTTGTCCAAGGTCACATTAGAAGTTACAGAACCAAGACTGTAACTTTAGATAATTTTACTAAGTACTATACTCCAGTTTCCCAATTAGTTTAAATAATCTGCCAATAAATTCTGAGTACTGATCACAGTAGCAGTAACTTTACACTCTACTCCTTGTAACAAGTTTTAGCATAGAGATACAAATGTAGAAATGTTTCTCAAAATAATGGTTATGCAATCCCCATCATCACAGTGCTTTTTAACCAGGGAAAAAATGAAGAATTCTGTTACCTGGTAAATCATCTCATATATAGTATTGTAAAATATAGAAAGCTCTCACTAAACTGAGATTTTTCCTTTACTAATAAAATCCATGCTGAAAATTAACTTTGTTAGCAGGTTAAGTAAATGAACATTATTTTAAAAATCTAGGCTTATTTTACTCATTTAAAAAATTTTTTTCCAAGAATATTTTATTTTAAAATTACACACGCACACACACATATTATTTACATCTATCAATCTATTTTTGTAAAGCTCTAGCCAACTGCTATTTTAAAACATTCATATTTAGTCATTAATGTTATCTTGATAGCTTCCTCCACCTCACGTGCCACTCTGAATTCATCTGGAAGTCCTGTCAGTTCTGCCAATTTGACCTGGAATCAGTCAGTTGGTGTTCTCCCCATGGCTGCCCCCACTTTACTGGTTCACCCAAGCTATACTCATCTCCTGCCTGGATGAAATACAGACTTCTACCATATGCACAAATCTCCATTCTCTCCACTCAACCTGTTTTACTTTAATGCAGTAGCCAAAGTAACCTCATAGAAAGACAGAGTCAGCCATTTTACCACTTAAAGCCCTTCAAAGATTTTCCACTGTGTGCAGGATAAAATTCAAACTCCTTAAAATGGTCTATGAAACATAGTACGATCTCTAACCTCATGATTCTTTAACTTCAATTTCCACTACCTCATTCTGCAGAGGACTCTTCAGTCTTAAGGCTTTTGCACACTGTCACCTCTGCCTGGAATACTTTTTCCCAACTCTACCTCACAGACTCCTCATCTTGTGTCTCAGCCTAAATGTCACCTCCCCAGAGTCCTTCATCCCCACAAACTAAATTATATCTCTTTATTATTGTCTCTCTTAATGTTGTTTTTCCTATAATATTAATCCAGCTTAGCTAAATATTCTTTTTTAAAAACAAGCTAATTGTCCATTTCCATCCATCCACCAAGGGCGGGGGGACACGTCTGTTTTGTACATTACTCAGGACGCAGCCTAATGAATGACTAACATATAGTAAGTTTCTAATAAATCTTAGCCAGTTTGAAAGTAACACTATAGTGTATCTTTTTAAAGAATCTACAGTTTAGACTTGACATACTTATTCTATTATAGTATGGATAGTTACCATTATAATTTGGAAATACTGACTTTTACAAGCTGTAAATAACTAAAACCTTTTACTTTTTTTGATGGTACTAGGGCCACTAAACTCAGGGCCTCACACTTGCGAGGCAGGCACTCTATAACCTTTACACACTAAAATGAAAATGTCGAAACACTTCCTTCTTTTGAATTTTTCCCCTATGCAATAAGCATCATGATTTGAAATGCTTACTTCTTCTCCATGACCCACTTTAGCAATTTCTAAGACTTTATTACTTTTATCA